TGGTGGCTAGTTTGCTTTACTGTAATACAACAAATCTCAGCAAACCTTCACTATGGGTGGCTTTGAATCACCAAGATAATACTTAATGAAGAATAAGGAATCCTTATTCTTTTTCAATTTGTGGCTTGTCATTAAATGCTTTTGCAGTTTGGCAAATTGGGGCCTTTTATTTTCCTGCAGCAGTGACAGTATAACTATGAGAAGACTCTCCAAGTACTGTAGAATGATTTCCTTGCCTGTCTTTTCATTCCATTGGTCTCTGCCGTGTGCTCTGCAGTTTCATTTTAACACATATTTTAAAGCTTTAAACAGGGAGTCATGAATACCCTGGTGTAATGAACATCCCATTGTATAATGAGGAGCAAAAACAATAAAAAAGGAGTAGGAATTACATTTCAAAAGTATCCCGACCTGTTCAGAAGCCCAAGTGAATGAGCAGAAAGCTTCTGAGTTAAAGTAAGTGGAGAAATAAATAAATACAATATTGTTAAAGATGTGGGTGGTGCTTCCAAAAGCAAACTGCAGACTTTTCCAAGAGGTATGAAACAGTGGGACGGGGAATTCCATTTCTTAGACGTCTGTTGGCGGACACACTGCAGGGCGGTCCTCCCGAGGATTCCTGGCTGGGGCAGGCGACCCTGTGTTCTTCCCAGAGTGAAGGGAGGTGCGTTGACAGAATGCTCGAAGCAGGTTGGGGCCAGATTCAGAGGCCTAAAGGGCCCCTTCCAATTCAATGAGTCTGCGATGGGAAGCAGTGGGGAAAGTGGCCGTGAAACAATGTTCCTGACTTTCAGGGAGACTGAACTCAGTATAGCCAAGTATGTAGCTTGGATTTCAAGAGAGCAGATTTCAATAAAATCAGGACAATTATATAATGATAATAGGAAAAAGAGCCTAAGGTGGGCTGCGTGAAAGAGCCCACAGGGACAGCCTGGGATTTCAGAGGAAGCATCGGCAAGGCCAAGGCCCAGAATGAGATGGCTGGAGGAGGCAGCACAAGAAGCTTCTTCCCTTTCAGGGAAAAGAAAGGGACCCCTGTACCAGCTGCTTGATGGAGATGGAGAAGTGACAGCTGGGAAGAGAGACCTTACGTTCTGGCTCTGTTTTCTTCAACAAGAGACTATATGTCCCACCAGGCAATTATGGAAAGCAGGAAGGGGAAGGCTGCAGTTTGAGGCTTCAATAAGCCTGGTGAAAGAACACATCTTTACTTTGAATGACTGTAGATGTTCCACACCAAATGGGTTGCACTTGAAGGTCCTGAAGGAACTTGCTGAGGGTGTGGCTGAGCTTTCTGAAAAATCCTGGAGAATGAGTGAAGGGTCAGATAACTGGAGAAGGGAAAATGTTGATTCTATCTTCAGAAAGAGGGAAAAGGAAAAATTGGGGAACTATGAACCAGTCAGTCTGACCCCAGCACCCAGAACGATTCCACAGGAAATCATAAAGCAACTGACCTTTGAACGTCGGAAAACACTGTGATGATTACCAGATGTCTACATGGGTTGTCAAGAACAGTCTTTGGGTACCTGCTTTGCCAACTGTACACGTGAAAAAGATCTGGGAATAGTAGTAGATTATTCACTGAATTCTCTCGAGCAGGTAGAATAAATTTGATGGACCAGGACCAGGACCAGGACC